TAAATATATATATATATTTTAAAAAAATATATTTCACACAAAATTTAGAAATCAAAACTAAATATCAGAAATGAGTTATTAACATTTTTTTTCTTATTTATTTTGTATTTTCTTATAAATTAGATACATGCAATATGTATGTGTTGCATTTATTTTCTCTTTTTATACAGTTTTAAAGTCTGGAATTACTTTAATTAAATATATTATCCTCACTTTACATATTTAGTCCAATAGTTATTTGTTACTTATCTTATTGTATCATTGTCAATTCAAAACATAATTAATTACATTAGGGTTTCAAATTTGATAAATATGAAAACATGATGTAGATACTTTAATAGAATTGATTAGAAGTATCAACTTAATTTCTTAACATAAAATAAATAGTAAAAAAAAAATATACACTCATCCCTTGTTTTAATGGATAAAAAGGGGTAAGAGGTAAGTAACATCAGTTCAATTCACTTTGTTCCAAAACTAAGTCTGCAGTGACTAATAGCCACAATTACATTACAAAAGAAAGAGGAATTAACCTTTTTCCACTTTTCTAATCTTCCTCCTGAAGACACAGTAAAGAAAATTATGAAAAATAATAACAAATAACATACTGACATACTTTTTTTGTACTGACATACAAAAAAGGGGGCAAAACCATGAATCAATAAGAAGCACATGTGGTTCCACACATGTAAACAAAGTGACAACTAGCAGTCAGCTCCTGAAACAGTGGCTCATGTTGAGTGCTGCCAAACTCTGTCATAGGAAGCAGGACTTTCAAACTGAATCAGCTGTTCTAGATTTTGTCCATTGCTTCTGATATCCATTAAAGGAGGTTTGTAAGAGCCAAGGGATGAGTGTACAATTATTATTTGGTATCAATCACTTTCATCCTAAAATTTTAGAATTTAATTTGTAAATTCTTATTATTAAAAATTGTGTATATCTAAGATTTTTNATTCGTCATCCGAAAAATAAGTTATCCAAACCACCCCAGTCCCCAATTGATTCGGATAAACGACACTCTACTGTAATGGGTATTGTTCATGATGAGATTAGTTAATAAATAAATTTAACACTTTAGGAGATATGTATCCAAATGCCGAATCTGATGAAGAAGAACCTGACTGGGTCAAGAATGAGAGAGAGCAGTTTTCAAATTTTAGAGACAAAAATAAAGATGGATTTATGGATAAAGAAGAAGTCCGTGACTGGATTTTACCCGACGACTATGATCATAGTGAGGCCGAAGCCCGACACCTAGTTTACGAGTCGGATGCAAATAGGGTAAACAAGAACTGTATTTTGTAAAATTAATTAATTATTAATCCAGTTACTTAATCTAAAATTATTTCCAGGATAACAAGTTGAGTAAAGAAGAAGTTTTAGATAAATATGATTTATTTGTAGGAAGCCAAGCTACAGATTTTGGAGAAGCACTAGTCAGGCACGACGAATTTTGACTTAATAGAAAAGAATTAACTTATATCTTAGTGCCAATCTTTTAAGAATATCGATTTTGTTATTTTTCTATTTTTAATAAAATCCACACCTTACTATGCTGAAAGCAACTGTATATTTATGCAAATTAATGTATTTAATATGCTTAAAGCAGAAATTATATTACAATTTATAATATCAGTAAAATTTGTCTTCCTCTAGATACAAAATCAAATTAAATAATTTTTTTACATATAAATATTAAATGACCATGCAAAATTGAAATGAGAACATTGACGAGTTTGGATATTTTTTTATATATATATAATAAAATAAACAAAAATACTTTTGTATAATTTTTAATCTAAAATAATTTTATATCTTTAAAATAGAATAACAGGATGAATTTTGAATGCCAATAGCTTTAAAGATTAATAATCAGATACACATCTTGTGTTATTAGATATTTTATTGCTACTGCTTTGTTTAAAATATTTAAAACCAATAATAAACTTTTGTTTTTTTTAATTGCTTTTATTCATGATTGGGTTATGAAATGACATTACTCTTAGAGGTACAGACAAATTTACATTTTCTACACTCAAATACCTATTATAAAACTCTGCTTTTGTCTATTCTTATAAAAATCACTGTACCTCCTAAATTTAAATTTAATTAAATCAAATGACAAATTACAGGTAACCCCCGTAAAACACGGCACTTCTAAAGCATGGATTCACCCTAACACAGTTTGAGAATTGGTACCATCCCTGTATAACACGGTACTGTTATAGCATGGATTCACTCTGACATGGTTCGAAAATTGGGTAAAACCCTCGTACAACATGAAATGTAATACATTTTTACATACTTAAGTAATAATAGTTCACGAAAATAATAATTTTCGTGAACTATTAGTATTTAAGTATGTAAATTTTCTTTTCTTGCCTTCTGTCGATACACATGGTCCTTCTCGAAACTTGTTTCAATGTTGCAAGATTTCAACATTTCTGCTTCTGATGTTGCCAGATGTTTTTCCCTTATTTCATACTTGCTTTATTCTTCATAAGTGCTTAGCATCATATGAGGAAATTTATAAAGATCTTTTAACTAGAAGCAAGCAATCTAAAATTACATACATTTTGCAAAAGGTATCTGAAGATAATGCATAAATCTGAAGATAATACAGAAAAATGTTTAGAGGATAAGGATAACTTGCTGTTTTCTTTTTGGCAAGTTATCCTCAGTTTATAGTGCTTTTAGTGATAACGAAGAAAACATTATTTAATTCATATTAATATGTATCACTTAAATATCTTTATTAAAATTTTCTTATCTTAATTATGAAAATATAATAGCATGTTTTTTAATTTTTGGAACCTAACCCTCCTTTTCGTATTAGTTCTTTGTTTCGCATAACACGGCAATTTTTTGGAACGTAACTACCATGTTATACGGGGGTTATCTGTATTATAATATTTAAAAAGTGTATATAAAATAGTTAATTTTTAGTTAATTTAAAATATATTCATTTTTGTAGATGAATTTAATTTAACAAAAATTAAGTTTAAAAGTTATAATATTAAAAATTATTACTGGAATTTTAATTAGTAATATTGCTACTATAGGAATTGAAGAAATTGATACCAATGATGATGAAAATACTATTGCCTATAAAGAAATGTTACAAAGAGACAAGAGAAGATGGACAGCAGCTGATAAAAATGGTGATAATGCACTTTCGAAAGAAGAATTTTTGAACTTCTTACATCCTGAAGAAACACCAGAAATGAGAGATATTGTTATAATTGAAACTATGGAGGATATTGACAAAAATAAGGATGGAAAAATTTCATTAGATGAATATATTGGTATTGTTGTTTTTTTAAATTTTATGTATATACAGTAGAGCGTCGTTTATCCGAAACGTCCATTATCCGAAAGCATTCAAGTCGGCAAATTTAAATTTTCGCTAGTGCTGTGGCGCTGCAATCTTCGGCTATTTCTCGGGCTACTCAAATATTTTACGTTTTTGATACTAAATTAACATCTGAAGTATAATTTTTTATTGTTTTTATATTTTTCAATAAATTTATTTTGTTTGTACAAAATAAAAAAATAATTTTTAACGATACAATAGTCTTCGTTAGGCTTAACATCGACGAAAATTCAACGCAAAGCGACACGCAACGAGAGAAATTTCAACATGGGATAAATTAATATATTTTTTCGTACATGATTTGTTATCCGAAAAATAAGTTATCCAAACCACCCCAGTCCCCAATTGATTCGGATAAACGATGCTCTACTGTAATGGGTATTGTTCATGATGAGATTAGTTAATAAATAAATTTAACACTTTAGGAGATATGTATCCAAATGCCGAATCTGATGAAGAAGAACCTGACTGGGTCAAGAATGAGAGAGAGCAGTTTTCAAATTTTAGAGACAAAAATAAAGATGGATTTATGGATAAAGAAGAAGTCCGTGACTGGATTTTACCCGACGACTATGATCATAGTGAGGCCGAAGCCCGACACCTAGTTTACGAGTCGGATGCAAATAGGGTAAACAAGAACTGTATTTTGTAAAATTAATTAATTATTAATCCAGTTACTTAATCTAAAATTATTTCCAGGATAACAAGTTGAGTAAAGAAGAAGTTTTAGATAAATATGATTTATTTGTAGGAAGCCAAGCTACAGATTTTGGAGAAGCACTAGTCAGGCACGACGAATTTTGACTTAATAGAAAAGAATTAACTTATATCTTAGTGCCAATCTTTTAAGAATATCGATTTTGTTATTTTTCTATTTTTAATAAAATCCACACCTTACTATGCTGAAAGCAACTGTATATTTATGCAAATTAATGTATTTAATATGCTTAAAGCAGAAATTATATTACAATTTATAATATCAGTAAAATTTGTCTTCCTCTAGATACAAAATCAAATTAAATAATTTTTTTACATATAAATATTAAATGACACAACAATAAAATTTTTTTTATTTTTGCTTTGTTCAAATTTAATTGCAATAAAATAATCTAAAATATACTTATTTGTAAATAAATATTTATTTTTATTATTGTTATAAAATTAATCTTCTGATGCACCGTTAAACAATATCTTATTCTGTTTTTAAATTGACATAAATCTTAGTTTTGAATGATCTTTTTTGCATTTAATGTATTTCCTTTAATATCAGAATGTGCATTATAAATTATTTTGATTTTTAATTTTAACAGAAACATTATGCTGCTTTCTCACAGGACAAACACTACTTTGTTTAGATATCTAATATGTTTGATGCATTTAATAATGTTATACTATCCTGTTCCTACTGAGCAAATACAATGTACTGAATAATCTCATACATTAATTAATTTGGAGTAATAGTAATTTTACCTCTAATACTAGAGGTAGAATTAAAATAAATTTTGATAAAAAATGTTACATTACAAAGCAAGTACATTATACATAGTAAATCTTATGGCAAAATTCATTTAACAAATATCAATTATCTTACAAATATGATGTGAATGTAATTCAGTGACATACAGTGTAGTCAATGAATGATATTGAATTCTCATTTCCACTTTGGAGATAATTTATTGTTCATGATTATTTAGTTTTAATACATGAGTAAGTAATAATAAAATTACAATACTTTGAGAGTAAAACAAACACTTTGTCTATTGATACATGATATATATATATACAAGAATTTCCACTCAAAGAAATTTAAAATGGCATAAAATGATTAAACAGTTATATATGGGAAGAGGTAAAATTACACACAAATAATGATTTAAAATTTTAGAAATTCCACTTGGTTAGGAATTAGGAAAATACAATAGATTCTTACTTTAATGATCTGATAGTTGTCATCAAGTAAGCTGTCGCAAATCAGTCTCTCAAATTCTTTGTTGTTAACTTAGGGTCTGTTTCTAAAAGTTCTGTAAACTATACAATACTACACTAGAATGGCTGATTATAGAAAAGATATAACATTTTGTGTTGTAGATAACTTATAGATGTAAAAGTGGAAGATTGTAAAGAGAACAAGTCATAAAATGAGGTCTCTCGTATTTCAAATTTGAAATCTGAAAAATAAAACTTTGTTAATAGTGAATAATTCCCCTATTCTCAATGTAAACAAATTATATTTTATAACAAGGTTATCTTAACATGCAAAAACAGTTTGTTGCATAAGAATATGATGATAAAAATAGTGTATGCATGTAACAACATATTTTTATCAAAGTTATTATATTGAGATGATGCATTTTTTCCCCTCCTGTAAATTTGGATTTTTTCTTCTTATTACTGAAAGTTAAGGACCAAATTCATGAAAATATTATAAGGTATGCAACTTAAAACCAATCATTTACTTAAATGAATCATATTTTGATATACTTGTAAATAAAAATTAAGAAGCGAGATGCCTTAGCTAGTTGGTCAATTGAGGGGCGAGTTTCAAAGTCAACAATGTCCACTTTTCAGAATTTTTTTAGAATAAAAAAACAGAGCATAAAAACTACATTTGCCTCATTTGTGTTTTCGATTTTATATATTTGTTCTTTACAATTTAAAAATTCTTATAGATTTTAATTGTAATAGTATTGTAAAAGATTGCTGATTTTGAAATAAAAATTTGCAGTTAAAGCCAAACAATTGCTAAATTATAGGCTATAATATGGCTATGTTATTAAATAAGTAATTTGATTTAATAATTATAATAAACTTATGAAATCTAGTACAAGATGGCAGGCAGTTATTATAATAACTGCCTATCTGTAAGCATATTATTTAGTATTTAATTAATTACATTAGCAAATTTATCAGACTATAATATGGCTATCATTTGGCTTCAACTCACAAACCCAATTTATATTTAATGTTTATATGCATAAAAATCTCCATATTTAATCAAAAACATTGCTAAGTTTGATATAACTGAATTTGGAGATTAATGAAACAATGGATTGGATCAAATTTACCAAACTATTTCTGAAATTTAGGATAGAAAAACTGCAGAATTAGGAGAAACATAAAACAGAAAAACTAAAGGAATAAGAGATATAAGATAAGGGTATCTCATTTTCATGAAAGTCAAGGTTAAATATTAAAGTAAAATATTCTTACAAAAGACACTTCTACTTTTTCTGTAGCATTGTAAACTCCAAAATTTGAAAATATTAAGTGGATAAGAACTAATTCCACACACATCAGAAGAAATAAATTTGAGAGTTCATTCATATTGTAGCAGGAAAACCCTAAAGTTACAAAAATATCTGCACTTGCAGCATTTTAAGTCCAGATGAGCAGGAGAAAAGAATGGTCCCTTTTTATGCAATGGTCAGCAGCAGTTGGAGTTTGTTCATTCTTGCAAGATGTTATGGCCACAAGATTAAAATATAATTACCATAATACATATTATTTTTTCTTAAAAATATTGTGTATTAGTTGTATAATAAATGATTAAACAAGAACAATTTTCACATGTCCAATTTAAGCTTTTTTTATACCTTAGTGAATTTAATGTGATATGAATACAAAAGTTTTATATGAAATAATTTTTAATCTGAAATGGCCACAGCTGTTTATTTTATCCAAGTTTTAGTTAACTGGGGTAGCATCGGTCCACGTTACTCGGATAATTGAGGTTCTACTATATGTAAATGAAGTTAATGCTGTAGGGATTAAGATGGCTAGGTTAGCCTACTCACCTAAATTTCTTAGCAATGCTTCTTTTGTACTTATCTGATTGCTGTATTCATTTTCAAATCTTTGTTGACATTACTGAAAAAATTAATGAACTGCAGCTTCATTTGTATCCATATTTACAGACAAATCCTCAATAATTTAATAAGTAAAGAAACTATAATCTCAAATCACTATTATAATTTCAAAGCAATGCAGGATAGTAATATACAATAAAATTTTACACTCTGGATAATTTAGATAGATCGCTGAGTTTGGAAAAACATGAAGATTACTGGATTTGATTTTGATAGCAAACTTTGGCAATATCTAATTTATTTTTATTAACATTTTTTTAAATAATAAAGAATATTGTATAGTAAATACATGGTCTTCCAAATAAATTAGTTAGAATGTTACATTTTAAATTATGTTGTTATCTGAAAACATGTAATTAAAACATTGGAAAGCTGTCCAAATTTTACATTTGCCCATTACAATTTCTCAATGTGTGCACCTCATGTCACACGGCACACATCCAACTGATACTCAAATTCTTCCTACACTCACTAAAACATATCCATTATCACTCCTCCCATAGTAGCCATAATTCTACAATTCGTGCAAATTACTCGTATTGCATAATGAATGATTCCAATTTTGCAAACTGCAGAACACAGAACACCTTCTCTATAGCAAAGTTGCCATTTTTGTTTAAGGCACTTCTTGCAGGCAGTAAACAACAACGTATTTTGAATGCAGTTGGGAGATGAAACTAAGGCAGTTACTTTATTGATCGGTGTAAAGTATTGACCTTTTAGCAGAGAGGGAACAAAAGAAGCATGACTTTGTCAATTGGACCCATGTGAGGTTGGATAATATACCACTTGTAAGGTGTTAACTTGTGCACAGAGGGAAAACAAAGGAAGTGCCGACTTTGTCAATTGGACCCACCTGTCCAATTGACCATTTGCCATATGGTAAACAACTGAATGTAAAAAAGCGGCGGATGTTACTATAAGCTTGACTCTCGTTTGATAACAGCACACCTAAGTTAAAGCTGTTCAGGCAAGAAAAGTTTGCGATTGGTTGGAAGTTTGTCCAAAAAACCCTTAAATTGCGGGACAAAGGGGAGAGGGAGGAGAGAAGGGCAAGAGACTGGTACACGGTAATAGAGAGGTTGTGGCCAACGTTTTCATCGCTAAAACGTGTACGTCGGACATTCAGCGCCGCCTTCCTGTAAGCCTAGGAGTTTGACAATGATGCTTGGAATGTCGAGCACGATTCCACTGACTATCAAAACACCATTGTCAAACTTCTAGGCGTATAGGAAAGCGGTACTGAACGTCCGACGTACACGTTTTCGCGATGAAAACGTCGGCCGCAACCTCTCTAGTATCAGGCACTTGGGAAGTCCGCTGAGTGTAGAGAGTGTGTTCTCCTCTGGTAAACATCTCAGGGATGGGTTAGTGCAGAGACTGGACTGACTGTGCAGTTGAGCCAACTCCACAAGCTGAGGCCTCTCCAAAGTTTAATAGTTCCCAGAAACCAATCTAGTATGTGAGTCACCATGCTTTGTCACCCTGTATATACAGGGTGTATCAGAATGATGTTTTAAAAATTTGGGGGTTGTAGAGGATGAAATTTTGAACATTTTGATATAAGGAACCCAAAGCCAGAAATGTGATATAAAGTTTTTATAGCACTTTGCACTCGGTATGCTGAATGAAACAGCAGAATACAGTATTTATGACATGTTTTATTGACAAAATAGTATAGTACAATCAAATTGTACATCGAATCAGCAGCTGCACTACTTTAGAGTAAATGTTTAATGTGATGACCACCAACTTCATAATGGGCAATGACGAACCATGTTTTGTCCAACTCTCTGTAAGATGCCACGCTCCCATCTGATGGTATTAAATACTGTAAAAATGCACTCTAAGCTCATGAACTGTTCCTACAGGTGTTGCATACACAAGGGACTTTACATAACCTCAGAGGAAGAAGTCAAGAACAATAACATGACGTCAATGGACGGAAGGTTAACTACCAAAGTGAAGGGCGGTCAAGCACTTCCTACTGCTGTAGAAACTTTATATCACATTTCCGGCTTATATCACAACGTTGAAAATTTCATCCTCTACGATCCCCCAAATTTTTAAAATGTTATTCTGATAAACCCTGTTTATTATGTTTTCGAACTTGTACTTTTTGCATATAGAATCTGTAAATAAACTGTAAATATTATCAATTTGAGTGTGGAGGTATGCTTTCCATCGAACCTGGATCACTACATCGAATTGTGATACACACGGAAATCAACTCAACAAGTTAGTGAAGATCTAGTGAAGTTCTTTCCCAATCGGTATATATTGAATATTTTTCATACAAAGATTCACACCATATCAATAATCAAAAATAGACAATATGTGGAGATTTCAGAATTTGAAACTAGGCCCTCAATGGTTTGCAAAACTTCATTGGGTAGAATCATTGAAGTCTCAATTTTAGCAACTATTAATACTTTTCTGTTCCTTAGATTTTGTAAATTGTTCATTTATTCTGAACGAACTGTTCTATATTATATTTTAATATCAATGAGGAAGGCTTATAAATCATTAGAGTAAAAAAATATGTTTCATAAATACAAACTTCAATTTATTACTCTCATTTTTTACATTCTCAATTGGTTTGTGATTTAAAGGTTGTTTTTTTTTTCTGGGGTTAATAAAATAATAATGAGAATTACTACTATTTACAATATTTATTTCATAAAAAGTTAAAAAACTCTTGAATTTACAACTTTCTATACACACAATAATGCTGGATTATATTACAATAATTATATTACAAATGAAATGTGTTTTCTATATAAATAAATGAAAAATTCATAAATAAGGAAAAACGTCTATTTTTTTTATAAAAATTCACTATTTAGAATATAAATTACACAAAATATTTCTTTTTTAAAGCAGAGAGATAATCTTTGGCAGATTCGTCATCTTTTTTATGGCGAGGAGGAATAGAAATGTCTATTCTAGGACCTGAAAAATGGAATAAAGTTAAATTATTTGAAAAGTTATCATTTCTAGTAAATAATAATGTATGAATTACCATACCAGAATTTAAATGTCTTGTTATGGCATTATCTAATTTTATCTGAAACTCTGGTAAAACTTTATTAGAGTTATCGTGTTCTTTCTCTTTAAGTAGCTGTAAATTTGTTGGCGTGTGTATCACAGAAAAACTATTCCTCAGAGGAGGCGGGTCTTTAGATTGTAAATGAATATCTGATGAATTCCTTCTGTCTATTGGCATATTATTTAAAGAAGAAATGGAACTCCATCTATAAACAACACAATTAAGAAATATTTGTATTTACAAAAAAGTTACAAAGTAATAAAAGTTAAAAACAACCTTCTGTCAGGAACATAATTTAAAAACGATACATTAGGTCTTTCATTCTCGCTGGATAATTTAACAGGCGTTTCTATATCTTGAACAGGGTTTTTGGAATTATCGAATTCATATTTTCTCTGCAGAAGATCTCTTTCCTGTTCTAAAATGTCATACTCTTGTCCTTTACTAATGATTGAAGACTGTAATTGAGAAAGTTCTTTCTAGAGATGGAAAAAAAACAATCACTGCTTGTTATAATTTGATGTTTTTCTTAATAAAGAAAATTTATATTACCATTAATTTATTTTTCGTTTTTATAAAATCATTTTTCTCTGGCAATTCTGGTTTTTGTTGTTGATTTTTTCTCAGTTGTAAACTGATATCTCTCAGAACATGGTAAATCTCCTCATGATTCTAAAAATAATCTCATATTATGCATATTAAAACAAAAAACTCAAATTATAAAACAATTATGAACAGGTAAAAATTTTAAAATCTTACCCTATTTTCCAACTGTTTATATCCAGATTCTATTGGACTTGTTTCCATCCTTTGATCTTTATTTTGAGACTTAGCCCTTTTTAATTCATTTAATAATTCTTCAATTAATGTGGTCTGAATTGTGCGTAAGGAATGCAGTTCTAAATTATAAAATATACAGAATGTAACTTTTAATTATGTCATTCTCTTGCATTAAACTGATGGCATACATTACTAAATAAAAATAAATAGCAGAAAGAACTCAAAATTTGAAAATTAAATATATTTATAAACATCAAATTCTATTTTACAGGTATGTAAAATTAGAGCTTGCCAATATGCAATGATTTTGATCTAATTTTATTTTATTTTCTAGCAAAATTCATTACCTAACAGATAATACTAAGTGTTTAAGTGGCAACAAAATCAACTTAGAAGTTCTGAAAAAAATTACAATTAAAGTAGATTCATAAGATTTGACTTAAAACTGCAAATTATAAAAATTAAAAATACTTTTTTACCTGTTTCCAGTAGAGAACATTTTGATTCTGCTTCGTATCTCAAATTTCGTTCAACTCCCATCTCTTTTTGAAGTTGCTCAATCTATAAAGTAATTAAACTTAATTAAATATATATATATATATATATTTAAATAAAGTAGGAAAAAGAAATAAATACTTACTTGTTTATTAAGATCATCAATTTTTGTTCTCCATTCTTCTCTTTGATATCTCTGTTCTAAATCATGAGTAAAATTATCCAAACTCTGTCAAAAAAATGGAAAAAAAAATTGATTTACTTCAAATAATTTGTTTTTTAATGTTGCTGCTTAACATTGATTAGTACCGGAGATTTTATTTATGTACTGAAATTGTATTATGCACGGGATGTTGCATATATGTAATGCTTATTGTATATTATGTTTTGTTTTTGTATGTATGGACTTAGATTTTGTACAGAGATTACCTTTTTACTGTATTATATGTACTATATTTGTCTTTTGTGGAGACACCCTGTACAAAGGGTATTTGTATCTTGTATTAAATAAATAAACAAACATTGATTAACTTATAAACTTGATAAATTTTTATTGTTAAAGTTATTTCAGATATAATGCTGTTATACTCAGCCTCTTTCAATCTTATAGTATAGTATAGAATGTATAGGAAGACTAGAAAATATTTATTAAAATTCAGAATGATTTATGTAAAAATGCATTCTCCATTTTTCAAACTTAATCTAAAATATTTTGATTATCCAAAAACATCACAAAAATGAATTTAACTCAGCTTTTCTTTAACAGATTCCATAAATTAACAAAATTAATTTCAAAGATTTCTATAAAAATCATAAATAAAATAAAATAAAAAATTCTTGTCAATCAGAAACCTGAATTTTTGGATTATTTTTAGGTTATACTTTAACATGGCTCAAAAATAATCTGATAATTTAGTTTACTAATTGACTAAAGAAGTTGGATTTGGTTTATACTGTACAGTTTTACGATTCCTCTTTATACAAATAAAGATATTAAAAAGATTATAATATTATATTGAATAGACAATCAAAAAGAATTGCAAAATGAAAACTTTTTTCTATTCTGAATAAATAAATAATTTTTAAAAATAATATACAGTACACCCTCTTATAACACAGGTTCATATAACATGAATTCGTATAACACAGCAAAAAAATTGAGATTGTGTTCGTATAACATGCTAAAAGAGACTCGTATAACACGGTAAAAAGTCATCGCCGACTTGTGTTGCGATAGGATTGGTCGAATCTGGACCAATAACAGACATTGCACAAACCATTGAGTTTAAACGAGCAGCGGACTTACTAAAAACCATTTATTATTTAAAGGCCATAAAAATTATATTTATATTAATGATGTCTCCAAAGTTCAGCAAATTTTTCATAGAAAAATAACTTATCAGGAAACACGCGCCCGCCATTCAACGAGCTGCTGTGCGATGAAAACAAGTTTAACCAATGGCATCATCAAACAACGCGCGCTCGGTAAATAATCCTACAATTTTTTGTTTATAGCATAGTTTATATGGATTATTCCCAAAAAATTATACGTGTTTTGGAAATGTTGAGTGAAATTAGTCTAGAATCGATTAATTTTATGGAAGAAAACCTTTCAAACAGCTGTAGCCGCTAAACTGCACTTGTGCCAGGCTGTAATTGGCTCATGTATTTAAGTGACTCATACAACACGGAATTCATATAATATGGAACGTATCTACTGTGTTATAGGGGGTCTACTGTATTCCAAAATTATTTAACATATAAAGTATCATATTGAATAATATAAATCAAACTTGTGTAAATCAAATTAATAGTGGCTTGCCCCTGTACATCATACTTTTCCTTTAACAGTAGAGTCATGTCAGTCATCTATCTAACATCTTTCAGAGAAAAATTTTTGAACTGAAATAACATGACTTCTTGTTTGCATCAGAAGTTCATACATAGTTAATTGAGGCTTCCTGCCCCTAAGGTTTCCATAACTGGTCTCATCTTTCATCTATCTAACTCTGTTCCCGAGATTAAAGAAAGATGGATGGATGGATGGATGGATGGATGGATGACAATGGAAATTTATAAGTCTATGATTTTTTTCAAATTGCAGCCCCATAAAATGCCTGTCTAAGATAAACCCCCTAAAAAAATGAAAACTTACCTAAATGATAAATAAATGTTGGAATAGAATGACTTATTATAAAAAATACTATTATAATACAGAAACCTAATATGAAAATGGAAAACTTTTTAAGAATCACATGCATAACATAACCCAACCTGAGTGGAATTTTATGTCGTGACTGCAGCTAAATTCTAAATCATAATTAACAGTGTAACTTGAGGGCTTGAATCATGGTTGACTCATTAGTATTAATTCCACTTGCAAGTATCCAGTTGGAACAGTGAGCAATAGTGGCAGCTACTATGGGAACAAAGACATCTCTTTAATTAATCATCATGCTGATAAAGAAAATTCCAATAAGTTGAATATTTGCTGCTTCTGCTAAGATTCATTGCTTTTGATAACTAACAAAGTGATATTATATATCTGATGTCAGAATGATTAAATCTATCTCATGCTTGAAAGTGTGAAAGTGCATCTAATTGGCTAATGTATTATGTTTCCAATTGATTCTTTTGCATAGCTGCAAATGCTACCGCGTTTAATAGAATAAACCTCTATAAAGCATTCTGTTTTGAACAAATTTTCTTTTATATATATGAATCATTCATGAAATATATATATGAAGGAAAGAGATTGACAATCATCAACTCTAAATGTAAGACTGTTTATATACTCAGCCCTGCTCTAAAATTTTAAATATAATTATGACACTAAAAAATTGTTTCAATACTTGAATCCAAAATGCTGTATCTAAAAAATTACTAGTGCATGTCAGATAAACAGAACAAATCTTTTCTATATGCTAACATGATAAGATTAAACTTCTTAAATAATTAAGTATAATATTAATTTTACATTTAAATTATAATGACATATTTACTTTAATGCTAACTCACCTTAATTTTGTTATTTGACATAGCAAGTTCTGTTTTTAGCTTCGATATAATATCCATTAATTGATGAATTCTGTAAATTTGAATATTTTCCATCTCTTACTAAATCAATAACTTCAACTATCATAATCCAATCAAAATTTCAGATTTATTTAAAATTAAAAAGATTTATTAGATTAATAAATTATTACAAATATAATGTACTTACAAATTACATGACAAACTTATTATATTAAACTTTTTAAATATTTGTAATAAGTTTGTTGTCTTGTCATGTCAATAATATCAATAAGTGTAACTAAACTTGTAGCAGCAACTTATAAATTATAACAATTTTAGAAAATGAATTTTAATTATTGTATAATAAGAAAAAATCTTTTTTATCAATATAAAAAAATCAATACAAATTTCAAATAATAAAACTGGATAGCAATTTTTATTGCTATTTCCATTTTATAATGTATTTCACGCATTAACGTTTGTAGTTTTGCAACATAATACCTTCAAAAATAAATTATTTAACAAATTTTTCATTGTTATCTTCCTTTCTTTAGTAATCAATACATTAATATTAAAGTATAATATTCTACCAAATAATGAATTATTCAACACAGCTATTGAGATTTAATTAATGATTAGTAAGATAAATAAAAACGAGTGAAGTTCCTTACATGCTCTTACTTTTATGTAAAGTTAATTTGATCTTTCTCTAAAAATAAATTTCCAACACAACAACTTTAAAAATACAATGTTTTTAAAAGATAAACATATGTAAGATGGCCGATCCGGGGGAGATAGGGGGCTTGAAACCCACTTCACGGCACCTGTGTAAGGTTGCCGTCTCCTAGGTGAGATCTATTAATCCCGCATCAGGATGGACCTAAGGGAAGGTTGTATGTGGGCGGTGACATAGGAGTCAAATGACGACAAGTGTTTTACACAAGAAAGCCGTTTATTTGTTAACATATATGCTTACATCGGCAATCGACAGTCCTTCACTAGATTCTTCCCTCGAAGATGCGGAGTGTGAGAACTTCGGCGTCGGTCGTAGCCCCGGGGTGGACGAGATGCTGTTGCTGATCACGGCGGACGATCGGAAGATATAAGCGGCGGAGTCCACAGTTCCTTTGCGACGACACACCACAATAGAAGTCACTACCTTTCGTGGAGTCGGAGGAGAGCCCCCCTGACCTCGGATTTCGGATTTTTATAGTTTTTCTCTTCCACTATTCGGACTTCCGATTGGCCCTTCATCCCCTTTCTCGCTTCCCGATTGGTCTCTCTTTTGTTTTGGGATAAACTGAGACCGCCTCAGGTCACGGGAAAGGTCCGATTCCAGGTGTCTGCTCGACGCCGTTCTGTCGGATGTTGACAAAATTGCAAGACTCGCGCTCATAATTTAACTCCGTTACTCGCGATTTCTGTCATCTGGGTACTCGAACGATCATATGCAATGATTTATCTCTCTTAAATCTTTCCCTCTTTTCAGAAATTGTTTCCCTAGATTGACTGTTTATGAGCGCGGGGGTCAAAGTTCTACCTGCATATGACCACTTGTCTCTGATTTATAACTTTTCACTCTGACATCGACAGTTCGTTTAACACGTGTTCGAGTCATCCGAGACTCGTTGTCTACATTTTGTGCCGCGTTGTTTAGATTAAGGGATTTTCCTCCCCTTCTCATTTTTAATCTATCGTTATTATTTAATCATAGGAATATCGCGATTTACATGATTCGGACCTCGGTTGGGTCTTCACAATATGTATTATAGAGATCACTTTGTTCAATAGGGAAACTGGTATATTAATGTTATAGTTGCTTTAATTTTGCTTACTAACAATAATAATGTTAGCAACATAAGTAAAAGGTTAATGAAGCTCTGACCCATAATGCCCATGATAAATTATGGAGTCCAGATTGGATTTGAACCTGGTTCCCCACAACAGTAGGCTGACATCTTACCATGCAGCTATCTGGCTATCTATACAAAAATTATAAATTGTGAAATAAAGTGAAAAATGTTATTTATTTAAATATGATATATACTAATATAATGATTACATGCTTTACATTAGAAAATTGAATTTTTAAGGGCTTACAGAAACAAAATCTAAATTGATATTTAGATATGTCTGTACATCTAGGTCTAAGCCATGACTTTTAACATGGCTAACAAACAGTTCACAATATGAATTATTTCTTCAAAGATGAAAATTATGTGGCATAGGAATACTTTAAATTAGATTTCTCAAACTACAGGGTGTCCTGAAAGGGCGAGTGGAGTTTAAAAGTAAAATAAATTAAAAATAAAAAATGTTCAAAGAAAGTTTTGTTTTTATTTTCAATCTATAGTTATTGGAAAATTATTTACTAAAATTATGTTATCTAAATGGCATCCGTTACACTCCTGGCACTCTTCTAATCTTCAGCGAAGATTTCTCAGTACACGTTGACACAAAGCCTGAGATACCGATGCCATTTCTGCTGTGATATTCTGCTTTAATTGAGTTAATGTCCTTGGCTTATTTTCATACACCCTCTCTTTAAGAAATCCCCATAAGAAATAGTCCAGAGAACTCAGGTCTGGACTGCATGGTGGCCAGTTAACATCACCTCTGCAAAATCACCTTATTGGGGAATCACCTTTACGGCTTCAATTGATTAATTTGATGTGTGACAAGTGGCACCATCTTGTTGAAACCATGAATCAATTGAAACCATAAAGGAGTTATTCCCCAATAAGCTAATTTCACATAGAGGTGATGTTAACTGGCCACCATGCAGTCCAGACCTGAGTTCTCTGGACTATTTCTTATGGGGATTTCTTAAAGAGAGGGTGTATGAAAATAAGCCAAGGACATTAACTCAATTAAAGCAGAATATCACAGCAGAAATGGCATCGGTATCTCAGGCTTTGTGTCAACGTGTACTGAGAAATCTTCGCTTAAGATTAGAAGAGTGCCAGGAGTGTAACGGATGCCATTTAGATAACATAATTTTAGTAAATAATTTTCCAATAACCATAGATTGAAAATAAAAACAAAACTTTCTTTGAACATTTTTTATTTTTAATTTATTTTACTTTTAAACTGCACTCGCCCTTTCTGGACACCCTGTACGTAGATCAGTGTTTAGTTATGATATGTGCTGGATTGAAGAAGAATTGAAAATGTTAGAAATAATCAGTATTTAGGAATTATTACGCTAAAGAGAACAATATATTTCATTGAATAACTTTTTATTAATTTTTAATTCTAATGAATTGTATTGTGAATTATTGCATTGGAATAATCACCAGAAAAATCTTTTATCCCTTTTGCATTTTATTGTAGAGGTACAGCCTCAAATAAAAGGTTGTCTTTGTAAGTAAATTGTTTGGACCATTGTTGGTGTAGTGAACAATGAAAAATGAAGACATTTTGTAGCTTCAATATATTTATATATTTCATATTTTTATTTTTTTTATATTTTTCACTTATTACTATTTCTCTACTAATCTGTAATATATATTTTAATTAAATTTCTTATGACTGCTGTTATATATATATTGTAAAGTCTTTGTAAATCCGCACTTAAAATGTAAATTTTAATATTGGCGGTAGACTATCACACAGCTTTAGCCAATGATTTCACTTTATTCTATTACTATAGATGCATTTCGGTCCTTTTCTAAAAAAGGTCCCTCTTCAGTACTATAAAATACAAAAGTTTACATAAACTTTTTCTGCAAGTAAATATTTAACATAACAATAAATATTTTAGTATTACAATACCATTTGAGTACACAGTTTTATTTATACATCCCTTTAGCACTTTCATCTTGAGCGCACTAAATTATTTTTATTTATGTCTTGCTGTAACAAATTTTACTCTATATTAGATCTAACAATTATACTCAATAAAACTTTTAAAAATCTACAAAAATTTCAAAAAATTATCTAAATAAGTTTTAAAAAAATTACAGATGTAGATCTTGATTAACGTTATAAAAACGAATTTTAAAAAACTTACCGTGTGTATTTTTCTATGTTATGATAGTCCATGAACTGTCTTTTTTATTAATTATACACAATAAAAACACTCCACTGGTAACTATTTAACAGACTTTTGCACACTATAAACCACTCTGATAGTAACTGTTCACAAGTACACTGTTGGAGTAATTCTAAGTGACTCGTTCCTTCTATTTCATGACGTCATTCATTAATTTCTTTTATTACGGAATACCATTTTTGATCAATTTGCATACCACTAGACACATTTATTAATTGATTATTGTTTTTTCTATTATATTTTATAATTTCAACGTGTTCTTTAAATTTTCTCTTGTATATATCTCTTTCATTATGTAATATCTGTACACTATTAATATCTAACTTACAATTATTGTTTTGTATTACATGGTTATACCATGGAGAGTTACTATTTTTTAATCGAATGGCGGCTTCATGTTCTTTAATGCGTTTTTCTAATTTACGGCCTGTTTTGCCGATATAAGTTTCCGATTTATTACATTTACAATTTATTTTGTATATAGTTCCTATTTTGTCTTTTTTATCAATTTTATCTGAATTAGTTTTCATTTTAATATTGTGGAAAAGTTTATTTGTTAAGGATGGGGCCAAAACAACATTTTCATTTTTTAAATTCTTAACACAATCACTATAAATATTGNTATGTTAATATATATTAAATATAAACATAACTAATAGTGACAAATTTCTGAATTTATAATTATATAATTGTTTAAATCAATTCTTATAATGATAAGTCTTTAAATTAATTATTAAAGACCTTGGGACAAAAACAAGTTAACTCATTTTTTCAAGTTCCTGGAAAGTTATTCTAAAGTTCCAAATTTGCCTTGTATTGAGGGCAGAGTGCAAATGATTAACTATATTAGGGCTTGATAGTCCAATCTATGAAAAGTCATGAGTTATGAATCTGGAAATAAAATCTGCCCTGTATGCGTAAAAATTCAATAATGTTCAACAAAGAGACTGAGTTAACATTTTCTTGCTGAAAGGTCTTCAATTAATTTTAAAAATTACAGACAGCCCAAGAAATCTGGTTTTATTTGGATTAGTTTTAAAACATTTACTTTTGAATTTATTATATATTTAACAAACCTGAAATTTTCCTGTTCCAAAAGTATATCTGATGATTGTTTTAATTTCATAACTTTATAAGACTTCTCTCTTTCCTTCTGTAGAAGCATTTCTGTTTTTTCTTTTGCATGTTCCATAACTTTTAACTGTAAATAAATTTTAATTTATCATTTTGAATAAACAGTGAATATTTGTTTTGTAGAAAACTGAAGAAATCCTCTTACTTTTTCAGTTAATTGAAAAACAGAATTATCATCAGGAGATGAATGATTTGTACAAATAATCTCTTTTCTACTTAAATTATTATTAAAAGATCCATCCACATTAATTTTTGATTCTAACTCCTCTTTTGCTGTTTGTAGACTTTCAACCAACATTTCCATTTTTTTGAGATTCTAAAATATTTTTGTTTTTTATCAAACAAACATTGAAAAATATACATATTTTAAATTATTAAATTACTGTTCTGTAACTAACCTGGTTAAAAGTCTCAAGTTTGTTATCTAACATATTAGAATGTTCTTTTTCTTTACTTAATTCATCTTCCAATTGTTTATTTTGCATTTGTAACATATCAACTTTCTCGTTTAACAGTTCTTCTTTCTGTAATTACATACACAAAAATATATATATACACAAATTAACATAAATAAATTAATAATAATTTTATAAACTAATTCATTCAGTTTCTAAATTCAGTGTTAAAGTGTATAGAATTGTAGTGTCACTTTTCCTGTAAAATGCCACAAATGTCCTGACTTTAACACAACATTGAAAGACCAAGCTGTTACTAGAATAGGCATGAAATGCTATATGATTCAAATATGTATTAATTCTTAAGTAATAACCAAAAATTACTTCTTAAACAACATATTTTAGATGTTTTATTGATTCCAAAATGCATAAAACTCAAAAGAAGATATATTTATCAAATAAAATTCAAACTGTAATCTTAGATTCATAATTGAGATGAAATTTCATTTTCTTTCTTGAAACTTAGTTAAAAATGAAATTAAAAACTGTCTTTTAACATGAATTCAAATGGTAAAAGTTTAGTTCCATTATGGACAAATTAATTTAAGAAATACAGATTTAGTTTTGTATATGTTTTTAAAGTAAGTAAGAACTAAATAAATTGATTCATTCAGTGGTGATATTCAGCGGGTTCGCACAGGTTCGGCCGAACCCGTTGTTAACATTTTCAAAGTTTTCCGAACCCGTTGTTAAATACTCGTAACGTTTCTCAGTGGTTTTGTTTCTTTTAAAAAATATATTAAAATATACGTATTATACTCTGTAACACTACTAGAGCCTTATACCATGTTCGCCTGGTGCAATCTCCATCGACCATGCGATTGAACCTCGTTTCAGTGGAGATTGAAACGAGGTTCAATCGCAATCGACTCGACAGAGTTCTCGAAACTAGATCCAGTCATAAGAGAGATCCCACAATCCCACGCGCGCGAGAAAATGCAAGATGGCTGCGGAACACGTGTCGAGCTATCGACAGCGAAATAAGAAAGATATTGTATTTCGAGAGACGATGACATCTGTTATTTATATTATTATATCTATTATTATAATAATACCTAACGATAAAATAAATGATTTAGAAAAAGTTTTTCTTGTGTAACTGCTTTCCCTATGACTTTTTCTGATTAAAAAAAACCAATTTTTATGTTTATAAAATATTTTGAATGAAAAATATTAAAATATGTACAAAATAAACCATTTTGAACACTCTTTTTTATTATTTATAAAAAAAAATATAGCTCTGGCATAAACAATGTTAAATTTTAACTGACTTAATTTTGCGAACGCAACTTTTTTATTTATATTTTCTTAAGGTCAGTTTTTGCGCTAATGTTGCTAATGCACCATTTGAGTGAAAAAAAATTGTTAAGGAAAAATTTTCTGTTAGCAAACCCTTTGTTAAATATTTCGAATATCACCACTGGATTCATTAGTAATTTTAAAAATTTATATAACATTTTTTTGACTCTAATATTTTTCAATGAATTGGTAAAAAACCCATTAAAATTAACTCAATAGGCATAATCCTTCAATAAAATATTGGTAATTAAAAACTTGTTTCATAATGTGAATAGTGTTTAGAATAGTTTTTATTTTAAATACAGTAATACCCCAAACTTACGTGATAGGTGGGACTGAGCAATAACTGCGCAAGTCAGGATATAATTTTGCAATTTGTGTAAAATCCAAGTCAGATGTATGTAAGCTAATAAATGTTCTCATTAATCTTATCTCGTCTTTTGATTCATTCACGGTTACAAGAAATCACCACANTGATAGGTGGGACTGAGCAATAACTGCGCAAGTCAGGATATAATTTTGCAATTTGTGTAAAATCCAAGTCAGATGTATGTAAGCTAATAAATGTTCTCATTAATCTTATCTCGTCTTTTGATTCATTCACGGTTACAAGAAATCACCACATAAAGTCTCTCAAGTCTCCATAAATATAACAAACACAGAAATAAATAACACAAAATAAATTGTAGCTATATGTCAATTCCATGTGAGATGTCCAAACATGTAAGCTGAACAATATTGTGGGGGGAGTGAGTAATCAAGAGTTGTGTGACGCTCAAACAAAAGATGAATCGACAAGATTTGAAAATCGCGTAACTCCGGGTAACTCCATTAAATATTGGGGGTCGTGGGCGATGAAGTCGTCCCCAGTCAGTGATGTATTTAACCAAGTAAGGTTGTATCTAATCTAATATACTTCTGGAAGCGAAGACTCACTCGGGGTCCGGGTGGCGTAACTGGCAAGCGCACCGCATAGCGAGTGGAGGTTGCGGGTTCAAGCCCCGTCCCGGGCCAGTTCTTTTATTCCAGAAGGTTCTAAAATTAATTTAATAATTTATTTATTTAATTTTAATTATTAATTTACTTAAGAGATGGCACCTAACGCCTACCTCTAATGACAAATTACTTTATTCTAATCATTTAATTAGCCATATAATAGCCCGATATTTAAGCGATCGTTTGGCAATTTAGTATACATAGAAAATATATTGAATTTATGCTGAAAATGCAGGGAAAAAAATAAATTTTGAGATAAAGATGTTTGAGGTAAATAGGTTCAACTGTAATTCAATTATTCTTATGTATTATTATGATGTAGCATCAAAGTCATTATGCAAAGATAAGCATATAAAAATAAAAAGCAGATGGAGAAAATCAAGTTTGGTCCATAAATTAATATACATGTATTTTTCATTTTGGCAAAAAATCATTAAAGCTATACTATTGTAACAACAAATACCAATAACTGTAACTACCACAGAGAAATTTACTTCTATCAAGTGTTCAAAGAACTGACAAACCTATGTCTAAGACTAATTTTATTTGTTAATACAAAGCATAAGCCCACTATATGACTGGCTCAGTTTGGCCCATTATGAGCAAGTATAATCTACAGTGTAATTTATCAACATAGATAAGGGATCAAAAATGATAGCCTAAATGATATTCAATAAAAACCATGAACATTAAAATGTAATTAGAATTCAGATCTCTATAAAGATTTCAATTTCATGCAGTTTTTTTCTAATTCATGCAACTAAGATTAATTATAAATTTATAATTATTTTATAGTAAAAAAATATTACAATATCAGCTTGATCATATCTGCAGTTAAAAAGTGTAGAAATATGTAAATTTTGGTTCATTCTCCATATATTTCAGATCTTATATTGTATAATTTCAGTCTATTCTAAAATATCAAACTCTATAATTTTCATCAAAAATAGAATTAATTACAGCATTGATAGAAACTTATAGCATGCATTAATATAATGGAAAAATGAGAAGATAGTTTTGTTGAAAATTTCTGCTATATCAATTATTTTAGAGATTTTCTGAAATCTTTGAAAAATAAAAATTCAAAAGTTTTGAAAAACTTTTATAATTGTATATATATTTAAATTTTATTTAAAAATATTCTAAATTTACTAATTATATATATGTAAAAAGAATAATAAAATGATCATTATATGCACTACTAAAAAGTATCATCTAATTAAATTTTTTAATAAATTAATCATACTTCATTAAAAGATTTCAATTGCTGATGTAAAGATTGACAATGTTCATTTTCTTTAGACAGTTTTTCTTGCAATGTATTTTTTTCTGCTTTCAGCAAATGAATCTGTTGATGAATTTTATCTTCATTCTATACAGAATATTCATGAATCAATTTTTCATATAATAGATTTTAATTCTTATATCTTAGGTTGATTTTAGTATGCCACTTACCTTTTTAAAAGTATCAATTTTAGAATTTAACATATTAGAATAATCTTTTTCTTTTGCAAGTTCTTCTTCTAATTGAAATCTTTCCAATTTCAAAGAATCAATTTGTTTATTTAGTATTTCAATCTAAAATTATAATTAACGTTATTAATTTACTGTATATTGAAACAAAAATGTTTATATATAAATTACCTTAGCACAAAGTTCTGCTGAATTATTTCCATTATCTTCTGATTCCAATTTTAAGAAATTTAATTCTTTTTGTTGAGCTAGAAACCTATTAAATAAAGAACTTTTAACAACAATGTATAAATTTCTATCAATCTTTTAAAGTTGATATAAAAGTTCCATTTTAAAAATTATTTTATTTAAATATTACCTTTGTTGTAATTTATCTACTTTTTGGTTTAAATAAGAGTTTTCTTTCTCTAATTCATTAAATTTTAAATCTTTTTCAAAAGCAGACTGGTCTCTCTCTCTTATTGATTTTTGTAATTCTAATATTTTTACAGATTTATCATCCAATTGAATTTTTGTCTTTTGTAATTCATCATTTATGCACGATAATGTATTTTTTGCTGCTTCTTTTTCTTGAGTTGTAATATTTTCTGTATATTCATATAATTTTTTGATATCATTTAATTCTCTTTTTAAGTCTTGATTTTCTATTCGTAATTTCTCTAAAACTTCATAATTTTCAGATTCTTTTACTGAAGAAATTTTTAATGCTTCAATCATTTGCTTATAATTTTGGCATTCGGAATTCAATTTATTTATTTCTTGAAATGTTTCAATAGCCTAAAACAATTAATATATCATTTAAATCATAATTTATCTCTCCCTATATATTTCACTACTTTAACAAATTATGGTTCTTTGTAGATTTAATTTATGTAAAAATATGTATTTTCATTTGTTAAAAAAACTACATTTAAAAAGTTCCATTTTTAAACTTTATTTTTTTTTTTAAATTTAACTGATTTTTATTAATTATGAGTGAAATAATAAATTATTTTCTCTTACTTTATTTTCTAATGCAAGCCTCTTATCTAATTCGGACTTTGCTTCTTTTCGTAATTCTTCTTTTTCAAATTCTATTCCTTTAATATGTACATTATGCATCTCTATAGATTTATTCAATTCATATTGCTTTTTTTGCAGCTCTTTATCTAAAATCTGTAACTGATTTTCTATTTGATTCTTTTTATCTTGAACTACTTCAAGCTTTCCTGATAATTCAGCAACTTTATTGTTTAAATCATCCTAGCAATAAATTAATTAAACACATTTTTTTTAGTGATTTAATTCAAATTCTTAATAATAAAAATTAAATCCATATAAATTTTCTTTCATTTTTTATAATATTAAATAAAAGTAAATTATTATACACTTATATTTTATAATATTTCCAAACCTATTTTCAGAAATCATATTAAATATTTTTAAATTATTAAACTTTTAATGAGTTATAAATAATAACTATATTCCAATATAACATTTTCTTTGATCTCTTTCTATTCTGTGGACACTAATACTATATATAAATGAGGAGAGTTAACCTCATTCAAGGCTTTGAACCCAATTAACTTTTTTCATTTGAACAGAATGGAATTAGCTGATCCTGATTAAAACTCTAATAAAAAAATTGGGTTATTTTAACACTGTTTTTTGCAACTGATTTAATATTTTTTAAAGCAGATCAGTGACAAGTCAGCACATTAATCCTGTGTTGGAATTAACAACTGAAAGAATGATGTCACATTAACCTAAATCAAGTTGCATTCTGTATAAAAACTATCTGAACTTACGTTCTAGTTACTCCTGGTTAACTTAATTGGGATAAATCTTACCCCAATAAACTTTTGTCATGTAAACATAGTAAAAGAGGGTCTTTTAATCATGCCTCTCAAGAGTTTGACCAAGCACACAATGGGGACAACCAGGGGCCAACAGACCTCAGACAGACTACCTACAAAAAATTCCTGGGGTTGCTCATCTGAATTTGATCCTGAGTCCCCCAGAGAAGTAGGCCAATGCTTTAACTGGCTTGGCCATCTGACTGATATAATATACCTTATAATATTACAATTTAATTAACGTAAATTTTTTTGTAATATAAATAACATATTTCTTTTTAAAATAAAAATATGGTTAATTATTGAATTAGTCTATATATATAAATAAAGATGTTTGTTTGTTTGCTATGCATGCCTAAGCCGTTCAACCAATTGCTTAGAAACTCGGTAGTTATGTTTTAAATACTTCTAACTTAAATAACATTGTACATCCCACCCCAAATTATTGATTGGATTTTTATATATCAATTAATTTCTGTCTACATTTGATTGCTGGCTTACATGTAGCACCATCTATTGGGAAAAAATTTAACAAAATAATTAACTGAATATAATTTTTAAAAATATATATTATATTCACTGAATTACTGTGGCAATGATATAGCATGAAATAGATGAGCCATTGTGCCATTACTGCAACAGGTAACACACAGCACTTGCCTGCATGAAGTGCAGTAATATTTTGTCCCTGTACATCATACTTTTTCCTGTTAGCAATAGAGTCATGCCAGTTATGTATCTAACTCCATTTGAAAAAAAATTTTTGAATCGAAATGTGACTTGTGATACAAATCAGAAGTTCATATATAGTTAATCTGGTCCTCTTTCTTTTACGACTTCCATATCTGGCCTCGACTTTCACCTATCTAACTCCATTCTTGAGTTTAAGGAAGGACAGAGACAAATGGATGACAGTGGGAATTTATAGATCTACAATGTTTCTACCCTTCAGTAACTAAGTGGATAAAACCACTGAACACAGGTAGTCAGTCGTGGGTTTGCGCGTGGCCAATAAACTGGCTATGTGGAGTTTCCTATGATTTCTTCATGTTAGTAATACTTAAATGGGGCCAGCTTTATTTCTGGATGCATCCTCCTTGTCAGATCACTCACATACCACTTTGCTGTAATTAAATAAACCAAACCAATTCTAATCATTTTTCTATAAATGCAAAATTTACAAGGACATGCTTAACTACCAGGAAACCTGAACATCCTGCCCCTCCCCTGATTTTATCTCCCTTTACTGACTCATAAATCCATTGCCCCATAAAATTTCTTTAACTGATATTGTTTATGTTCTAACGTTCAGCCAAATTAATGTACTGCACATGCAACGATTTTAAGCTTCTTGATAACAAACACTGAGTTCAGCACTAACATGATTTTCTTATATCGCAAGTACTTTCAACGTGTATTATATCATCGTCCTCAGGCAAAAAATAATAAATTTGAAAAATATAACATGCAGAGTGTTCCAAGTAAAAAACGGTAAATTTTTCTACTTGGAACACTAGTCGAGTGGATTTAAGATCTTTCGAACGCCCACAAAAGCTTGTTGCACGTTACCAACGGAATTACCAAACGTTATAATTTAAAAATTGACAAGAAAAATTTACCGTTTTCTACTTGGAACACTCTGCACGTTCTATTTTTCAAATTTATTATTTTTCGCCTGAGGACGACGATATAATACTCGTTGAAAGTACTTGCGATATAAGAAAATCGTGTTAACGCTGAACTCAGTGCTTGTTATCAAGCAGATATATGATTTTGGCTTGAGTTTTATTTATTTAACTACTTCTAACGATTTTAAGGCATAAAGTAGAGCTGGAAATCTTTTGCTGTGCTGGTGTTTATTTTTCCTATTTATTATCATTGTGACATTATTTCATTTAAAATTTCCTATAGTTGTAGTCTGTACACTTTATTTAAATGTTGAGTCTTACTGTCAAATCTGCTTCAAATATGCTTATGCCACAACTTTCAAAAGTTTCCTTTACTTAGATGTTTTTGCTGAACTTTACTTTATCAACCTGGTTTCACCAGTTTTTTTACAGGATCACATAAAAGCAATTATTCTTGCATTTTTACAAGATTGTTTTATTTAAACAAATTTTATATCATGTCTTTCGGACATTAAAGTTAGCAACTTCAATTGTGTGGGTCTATCACAACCTATCCAACATGGATCATTTTCAAATATTAATAGTAGACAAGTATTAATTAGTAGTTGTTGACCATCATCTCTCCCTGGAGGAGGACTACTACTACTACTACTACTAATACTTTTAATCAAATTAACTTCAATCTCCATCTGCAACAGTCCCTTCTTTCTATCGGACCACCAGTATGGCGGAATTTGAATAGGAAAATTACATAATAAAAAGGTTCCCAACCTGCCAAAATATAATTTAAGTGATTTTTGAGGAGTGCCAAGTTTAAATATTTAGTCCATTTTTCATGAAATTTGATTGATTGGCAGATCCCCATTTGATATTCAGCTGTGAATGAAACAGTTTATTAGTGCTAATGTTAGAAAAAAAATTGAAAATACGATATCTTAAATATTTTAAGATATTTATTTAGTATTTTCAAGTTGTCAATTTAGTATTTTCAATTGGTATCTACTTGACCAATGAAATTGTGCCATTTTATATCATCTGAATATTGCGATAAACATGATAATGGTAGGCTAAAATAGCTAAACTCTTTATATGGTTTTCGTTTTAATCTTTGTTATATTATAGTATTTGATTTATATAAGTACAAAGGTTATCTTACATAAAGGTTTATAACACTGAGTGATAATCTAACACATTTTAAAAATTTTATTCCTCTATTGTACACAATTTAAAGAATTTTTAAATGTGTTAGATTAATCATTTGGTGTGATAAACCCTTACATAAGATAACCTTTGTAGTTATATAAATCAAATACTATAATATAATATAATAGAAGGGTTAGAAGTATGAAATAATCTAATAATCTTCATGTTTGTACTNGATTTTATTGTTTTTGGATTACCCGAAAAGTGGAAATGATTAAAATATTTATAAATTGCCAAAATGTATACTATATGTGCCACTATTTACTTTCCTTCTTTATTATTTACACTTTATACTGACTAAGACTAACTCTTTCCTCCTTTTCCCTTGGAGAGTTGAATTTCTAAGAATCCCTTCTTAATGTTCATTCTCATGGCATACCGTACTAAAATGCAGTCAAAAATGCAAAAAACCACATCTAAAATAGGGCATGTACAGTAGCAGTCATGTTCTTTCAGGGTAATCCTTAACCTCTCTCTCTCTCTCTCCTGCGTGGGGAATTTCCGAAAATCCTTTCATAATGTGCATTCTTATGGCATACCCTATTAAAACACAGTCAAAAAAGCAAAAAACTGCATCTAAAATAGTATAATAGAACCAGTTCTTCAGGTTAAGTCTTAATCCTCTCCCTCTCTTCTGCAGGGGGGCATTTTGGAAAATCCCTTCTTAGTGTACGTTCTCATGACGTTTCTTGTGTACCAAATTTCAACTTTCAACTCCTAACCATTTGGGCTCTGTGCTTATTATTATCATAATTATCAACTCATCTTGATTATATATATAGATTATGATTATTGTAAAACTTTCCATATTCCATTAAGATTGCACCAAGTTAATTTTGTCTTTTGTTATTTCATATATTGTATTGACTAAAACAACTAATGATAAATTTTCCAAATATGANTGAATATTGCGATAAACATGATAATGGTAGGCTAAAATAGCTAAACTCTTTATATGGTTTTCGTTTTAATCTTTGTTATATTATAGTATTTGATTTATATAAGTACAAAGGTTATCTTACATAAAGGTTTATAACACTGAGTGATAATCTAACACATTTTAAAAATTTTATTCCTCTATTGTACACAATTTAAAGAATTTTTAAATGTGTTAGATTAATCATTTGGTGTGATAAACCCTTACATAAGATAACCTTTGTAGTTATATAAATCAAATACTATAATATAATATAATAGAAGGGTTAGAAGTATGAAATAATCTAATAATCTTCATGTTTATACTTATTTTTTGCCCAAGCAATGCGGGATTTACCTGCTAATTGCAATTTATTTAAGATTAATATTTATAAAATGATTTATAATTTAAGATATTTATTTCTCTTACTTCTAATTTTTTTATTTTTTCTTTTAACTCTACATTCTCCAATTGTAATTCATTATTTATTTTAACTAAGTGACTTTCTTGTTCTTGTTTCTCTAATTCCTGTTCAATAGAAAAAGATAAATTAAATTTAACCAAACTTTTCTTTAAATCATATCATATTTAAAATGGAAATTTATGTAAATTATAAATTTAAGAAGCATACTAATTAATTTAACAAACATTAAAGATCTATAATCATTGATAATTATTACTACAGAAAATTTTAAATCAATTTATTGTCTTTGAAACATGGATTAATAAAATTTATATTCTATCTTTTTCATTTGATAAAACATATTCTTTATTTAAAAGTTACTTTTAGAAAGCTGTTTAAAAGTTTTTTTTTTTATCGAGTAAAAACAGAATTAGATGCTATATTTCAAATCTGATAACAATTTATTATCTTATCATATCAGATGATTTTAAATAAATTTCATAAAAAGCATGTAAAATAAAAATAATTTACCATTTCTGTAATTATGGACTTCTCAGCAGTTTCAGGTTTAGCTGATTTTCTTTGATCTATTGACAATAATTTTTCTTGTTCCAATTGCATTTTTAATTTAGTATTTTCCATCTGTAACTATAAAACAAATATTGCATATAATATTTGTTTGTATTTTTTTATTTATTTTAAAATTATTTTGCATTTGATACTTACTATTTGATTATTAGTTTCTATTAATTTAAACTGTTCTTTCATTGTTCTTATCTCATTTTCTAATGACTTTCTTATATTGTTTTCACTTAAAAATTTTAAATTATTATTAAAAATTAAATGCTAATTTAATCTTTAAAATTATGTTCAAAGAATTAAGCATACTTTACAAAAAGATCATCTTTATGAGAAAGTCGCTCTTTCATTGTATTTAATAAAACTTCTCCATTTTCTCGAACTTGTTTTTCTTCTTCTAAATTGTATCTAAAAATAAGAAAAGTTCATATTAAAATTTCACAAATAATACTGTATTTGTTTTAAACTTGTCTTTGTTAAAATTTTCTTTAAAGGAATATTTTTCTAATAAAGTTAAAATATTTTTCCTCTATTACTTCTTTTATAAGAGATAAATAAAAAAATATTTGATAAAATGGCCAAAAACAATGAGTATAACACCTTTAAAATTTTTCAAGAAACAGACACTATATTAAAAATATCTACATTCTCTTTTTTCTTCACACCTCAGAAAAATAAATCCTTTGGCAGAGTCAACCTTTATTCAGAAATTTCTGTGTCTGTCTTAATATGTAAAAATGTTATATAAATTTCCTTTGGCAATAGCACATTTAAAAAAACACTTGACAAAACATCCAAGGACAATGAGTATAACACTTCAAAAAGTTTTTTTTTAATTTCTAATAGCCAGACAACATATTAAAAATGCCTACATTCAGTTCATAAATTTTTAAAAAAGTTTCTAAGTAATAAAAAGATATTGTTTGAGAAATATGCTAATCCCATATTTCCAATATAAAATATGTGAAATGTATATAACTTCACTATACATTGGTATGCATTCAGTAAACAACTATAAATTTCCATGTTTTGTAATTAGATTATTGAGATTTGTAAACTTTGTAACATATTTAAAATAAAATTAATCTAGTCTTAATTATGGATTGTATGAAAATAAGATTTATATTAAAATATATTTTTGTTTTATATCTAATGATGCATCAAATACCACTAACAAGTGAATTTAATTTTTGTTTCCTTATAATTAGTATATTTAGTACAGTAAGTTTATTAAGACAATAAAATTTACTCTATAATTTACTACTTAATGTTGTAAAGTTGTAATTTGAATGGCAATCTTACAGATCAAATCATCAATTTCATATCCAAGGTATCTATGAAATAATTTGAATTGAGATAATTTGATTCAAATGATGACTCTATCATATAATAAACAATGTAATAATACCGATGATGATAATATTGTAAATTATTAATTATTAACCATAATTTGCTCTTAATAATAATTGTTTGATAGTTAAAAATGATATAAATGAAAGTGAAGATTTGATCTATATATGTATACATAATAATTTAATAAAAATGAATATAAATATATATACTTATATTCATTTTTATATTGTATATTTAAAGCTATATTATAACATCTCTTCTCTGGCATTTATGTATATGACATCAAAAAGCTGAAATGTTAAAAAATAATCTTAAAAAAAATAATCAATCTAATTACTCTGTAATAAAGTGATATATAAAAAATTCAGCTTTAATTTATATCATTATTAACTTGTTTATATTTTCTTAATATACACTTATGGTAATAAAGATATATAATAAAATAATTTTAATTTATAAACAAATTGTTTCTGAATTATCTGTCTTGTGTAAAAAAAAAAAAAAAACGCTTTGTTACATAGTTGGGTTTGATAAATCCTTGGATTTGCATGAATTGAGAGACAGAAAACTACTAATAAAAGGTATTATTATATACTAGTAGCCTGGGACGCCCCCTAGTGGGCGTTCCAGCAGCATTACAAATTCCTGAGGCATGTTTAATGCACTTAATATATGAAAGTTGTGTGCGCTTAATGTTTAAAAGTTTGATGCAGTTAATATATATAAATGTATACAATTCTTCATCTTAGAAACTAAACTTAAAATATCAATACACAAACAGCCAACAGTATTTGTACATGAGAAAGTGAATCTATTCTTTACTCAAAATTGTTCAAATAAATAGAATTAATATGATTAAAAAATCAAGTATAAATATATACAAATGTTCATGTTAAAAAGTAATGTTAACAGATCAATACACAGCAAATAGTATTTCTGTATTACAGACTGAAGATATTCTTTAGCTGTGTTCTGTATTCCATCATTTATCCCATCATAAAACTTCTGTATACACAACATTGTTGGTAAAAAAAGTATAATTATTTGGAATCAATTTGCCTTGTTGTGACATTTTGTCTTCTGTGTCGTTTTGCTTCTGCCTGCCTGTGCAACATTGCAGATCTGAGCTCATGAGTTTCATTCTGCAAGCCTCCACGTGTTGATTGTGCTATTCTCTGTAATGTTTCCTGCGCACGTCTCTCCCTTTGTCTCGCAGCAGTGGCAGCTTTACGTTCCCCCACAGTGGCGTATTTCTTTGGTCGTGCCATGAAAGGTTTCTATTATTATATTAAAATATTAGCTTAACTATTTCACTTATCGTTTTATCGTAGCGGTTCAAATCTATCCGGTTTTTCGTTATTCGCCCCCTAGTGAACATTACAGGCATTCCGTGACAATAATAAATTCCTATTACAAATATACTGAATTATTTATATTGTTATATTGACCAAATAATAATTTATTGGCCAAATGAATAATAATAATTTATATTGTTAATTTAAATAATAATTAAAATTGTTAATTTAATTTGAATGTTTGAAATATGACACACGATAGGGGCGCCTCTAGTGTCGGTTATCAAACGGTTATGGGATGGACAGACGAAAGGAAGGAAGGACGGACACCTGTTGAATGGGTTATATATATAGATAGATATTTATTTTTGTGTGTAGAACAAAATGTTCTACACACTTTCTCCAATAGTGGACAAGATCTCAAAATACCTTTTTGGAGAATGCTGGAGATTGCTCAGAAATTTGGTCACTTCTTTCACTTCATCAATTGACAAGAAGTGTCATCCAGGAAAAAGTTTTTTTCAGTTATCAAAATAGAGCAAAATCACTAGAACTGAGATCAGAACTGTTTTGGAATTGTGGGAGCTCTTCAAATTTTTATTGTTTAACTGTCAAATTTTGTGACATGTCTATAGTGTGGACAGATGGATTGTTGTGAAAGAGAAAAAGAAAACTCCTTTTGATTTCCAATGCAATTAGTGGATACCACTTATCAGTTCCAAGTAGTAGAATTGTTCTGAACCGAAGAAAGAAGTGACAAAATTTCTGAGCACCCTTCCTCCAACATTCTTCAACAAGGCATTCTAAGATCTTGTCTTCCACTGGAAAAAGTGTATGTGTATGTAATAATGCCTGTGTGTAAAAGTATATAATAATAACTTTTATTAATAAAAAGTTTAATAGTTTTCTGTTTCTTCATCCATGTGAGTCCAAGGACTTGTTCACCCAACTATGTAATTGTTAAGTAATAAATTATATTTTGTTTTATAGATTCTGAATCTTTTCTTTTGATTTGAAAATTAAATAATTTAATTTATAATCTTTTATTTACTGTGGATTAATTATGTTTAGTTATTCTTTATTAAAAATAGAATATAAAGTAATTGTTCCAATAAATATTTTTATGTAACTTAGTGATAATTTACATATCTATAAACAATAACTTTCCAAACCTGATCTTTGATTAAAGCCAGATGATCTGCTGAATTATCTGGCTATAATAAGACTAAGTTAATAATTAAGTATGATATAACTTGTCTAGAGGTAGGCAGTTAAGCCACTATTTTGTGATAATTTTAATAATTACAATTAAATTAAATTAATTTTAATTTAGAATTTCTGGAAGAATCATCCCACCATTTCTGCTTACTGTGCAGATCCATTGCCAGTTGCACTACCTGAAAGCAATGATCGGACACAGGTCTGGGTAGTGTAACTGGCAATAGATCTGCATGGTAAGCAGAAGTTGTGGATTTAAGTCCTGCTCTGAGTGGATTCTTTTCTTCTAGAAATTCTAAGTTAAAATTATCATGAGATGGTGGCTTAACAACCTATCTGTAGACAAATTATTTCATATGTAATTATTTACTTAGCCTTATTTTAATGTAATAATTCAACAGATCATCTGGCTAGAATTTACATATCATTACAGTTAAATACTTAATAATAATAATAAATGATTGTCTTATAAAATTATAAACAACTAAATTATTTTTTAAAAATGTTCTTGTTTCAATTTTTATTTATAAAATGCAATCATATATAGGTAACCCCCATATAACACGGGAGTTATGTTCCAAAAAATTTCTGTTATATGAAACAAAGAACTGGTGCGAAAAGGAGGGGTTAGGTTCCAAAAATTAAAAAAACATGCTGTTAAATCCTTATTTAAATCGAATTTATTATTCATTTATTTCATAGGTAAAATACTTATTTATTATTTAAGTAAATATTTTACCAGAGGATTATTCATCCTATATGATGATCTCAGCATGAGCATCATCAACTGGTAACAGTTTTTGAGTGCGTTCATTAATAGTGGTCGCTCTGCAATAGGAGTGCGCTGCTGTCTGTAGGCATTTAGGAATGACGGTGAAAGAAAGATGGTGGCGCCCGCACTATTGATAGTATCATGTGGAGGAATCTATAATTCTAAAATAAGCTTTTAGAGGCAAAAGAAGGGTCCCAATTGTAAAATTTAACTATTAAATGGATTATTTGTTGAAAGAGCATTCAAAGTAGCCACAAAAACAATTAGAATGCTCGCGTGGAGTTACACCAGAGGTATAAAAGAACTCACACTTTATTACATTTCATGTTGTATGACGGTTTTACCCAATTCCCAAACCGTGTTAGAGTGAACCCATGCTATAAAAGCACTGTGTTATACAAGGATGTTTCCAATTCTCAAACCGTGTTAGAGTGAATCTGTGCTATAGAAGTGCCGTGTTATACGGGGTTACCTGTATATTTCTTTTAAAAATTATATACAATCATTAATTATCAATTTATTAATAACATAATCAATCATAACATGTTCCATATTTTAAAGAAACATGTTATAATATGCTAACTATAATGTGCATTGTGTATTTTAATTTTATAATTAGATACACAGTAGAGCATCGATTATCTGAATGAATTGGGGATGGGGGTTGTACGGTAAATTGATATTTCGGATAACTGATTATGTACGAAAAAATATATTAATTTATCCCATGTTGAAATTTTTCTCCATTGCGTATCGCTTTGCATTGAATTTTCGTCGATGTTAAGCCTAACGAAGACTATTGTATCGTTAAAAATTATTTTTTTATTTTGTACAAACAAAATAAATATATTGAAAAATATAAAAACAATAAAAAATTATACTTCCGAAGTTAATTTAGTATCAAAAACGTAAAATATTCGAGTAGTCCAAGACATAGCCAAAGATTGCAGCGTCACAGCACTGGCGAAAATTTAAATTTGCCGACTGGAATTCTTTCGGATAATTGACGTT